AAGGGCCGCGCGCGAACCAAATGCTCGCGGTCCGGCCGACAAAGCAGGGCGAGCTCAAGGTCGTCACGGGCATGGAGCCGCGGAGCTACTCCATCGAGCCGGGCCGCGGCGCCGAGCAGAGCCTGACGAGCGAGCGCCTGGGGGGCATGCAGAGGTGGCCAGATGGCGCGCCGCTCGTGCCCGAGTGGGGCGCCCTCGACGGGAACTGCTTCCACTTGGGCGACTTGCCCATGGACTGCGACCAGGGCGAGAACCCCGCCTCCTGGAACTCCGAGAACTGGTTCTCGAGCTCACCGACGAGCAGAAGGACGTGCCCATAATGCCAGAAGAGCGGATCATGGATATTCATGTCCCGCGCGCCCTCGAGAACCGGGACCAAGGTGGCGAGAACAAGTGCTCGCGGGAGCAGGCGGGCGTCCATGTTCTCGGGCCAGTTCCCGGGCAAGATGCAGCGCAGGTGGCAGCGCGCGAAGGCCGAGGCCGGCGGCGAGGCCTCGCTCGAGCACTTCAGCCGAGGCGCGGCCAAGGCGAAGCTCACAGGCAGGGCGCCGATGGCCAAGGCGAGCCCCCCCCCCCCCCCCCCCCCCCCCCCCCCCAAAAGTTAAGGCCAAGAGGCAAACGGAGAAGGGCGCCAAGAAGCAGGCGAAGGTCAATAAGAAACAGGGCTCGAGGCTTGCGAGGACCCCCCCTGGCGCGGCATGGTGGCGCGCGTCACCGAGGAGGGAGTCCGCGAGGGCAGGCGCGGCAGAGTACAGGACGTCTGGCGAGTCCTGGGCACCGAGGGCGCGCGCCTCCTGCGCGTCCTCGAGGTGGAGACCGCGGCAATCTTCCAGATCGAGAGCAGCGAGGCCCGGGGGCTCACAGGCGCTCGCTAGCTTACGCCTGCTTCCGACTGGGGCGGCGGAAGCCAGCGGAAGCTAGCGGAAACGGCGGAAACGACGGCGGAAGCGGCGGAAGTTGTCGGAAAGCTGGCGGAAGCAGGCGGAAGCTACGCGAAGCGGGAGCAGGCGGGAGCTGACGAGTGCCCGTGGATCCCGAGCGCCGCAGGTCGCGATCGAGCAGGGCTGCAAGATCCCCAAGCCGCGCGAGCTCGATTGGCGCCAGACCAGACTGGCTCGCCGCACCGGGCTCGCCAAGGAGTGCGCGATCATGAACTGCGAGCAGATCGTCGAGGGCGACGCCCTCGAGCTGGGCACAGCGAGCGCGCTGCTGGGCGAGATCGAGAGGCGCGCGGGCGCCCCCGAGGCCGTTCTGGCGGTCGAGCCCACGGCGGCCGTCGCTTGGGCCCAAGGCGGCAAGGGCGAGGACGAACCCGCCGCCCAGCAGCCCGAGGAGCAGACGCGCCGGGCCGAGAGAGTCCACGAGGCCGAGCGCGTCCTGATCCGCGTGCACTCCGAGGCGCCCGCGAACTACACCTACCTCGAGGTCGGCGGCTGCTACCACTGTCCCTGCCCCTAGGTGCCTCCATTTTTCGCCCCGTTTTGGAGCGAATCCTGGGGGCGCCCTGGGCAGGGGGCGCTTGTAGCAACGCCCGCCAAGGTCTCGAGGGTCGGCGGGGGCGTCGCGGCGGAGTGCCGCGACGCCCTCAAGCAGCCGCCCGGGAACGCCAAGCTGGCCCAAAGGGCCACGCGCGAGCTCACACATGCATCCCGCGATTTCTGGAGGGGGAGGTAGGCCTACTTTGCTCGGTAGCTGCCAGACGAAGTGAACCCCGACCTCCTCCTCAGAAGTGGCAGGCGGGGTTCGCGCGTGGCCTCCCGAGGCCGCCGCGAGGATCCTCCGCGAGCTCGGCGCCGTTGGTCCTGGCGAGACCTGCTCTGCGAGGAGCAACGAGATGTTCCAGGCCGACGCCCGGTCCTGCGGCCTGTGGGCGAGCCGCTGGATCGAGCGCGCCCTGCGCGAGATCCGGGGCGGGGGCCGCCAGGCGCCCGTGAGCATCAGCGCGGTCTGCGCCCGGGGCAACGAGTGGATCAACGAGCTCAAGGAGGCCAGCGACAACGACTTGGCCAAGGCCATGGCCAAGGCCAGTAACAAATCCAAGCCCTTCAAGGACCCCGCGGCGGTCGAGCCGAGGCGCGCCGCCTGCGAGGAGGCAAGCGCTGCCGCCCAAGCGCTGCCGCCCAAACGCTCACCACTCGCCCGCGCAGGGGCGGCCCCAAAGGGCGCCGAGCCTTCGTGGGCGAGCGGTTTGAGGCCGCGCGCCAGAGAGGTTCCTTGGCCAGGAGCGCCAAGGACCTCCCTTGCGCAGGCAAGTTGTAGCCACGAGCCTCGAGATCTCTCGAGTCAGTCTTGTGCCAAGATCTACAAGGGCAGTCTACGCGAGCGCCCAGGATCATCATCTTCACCATCGCCATTGTCGTCATCATCATCACCGCAACATCACCTTCCCCGGGAAAATCGTTGATTATCCCCACCAGACCCCCGAACTTCATTCCCCCCTGAAGATTATTATCGGGAGCGCTCGGTTCGGTATTTCTGAATTCCCATATTTTTATATTTTGCAAGCGCCTTCCCACTTCACTGATCGAGTGGCGTCACCTTTTTCGTCCTCCTTATGGGGGCGGGCGGACACCCAGTCTACTTTCAACGCTTTCCTATTTCATGTGTCCACCTGCTTCTTCCGACCGATGGGTAAGAAACCTCCCCCCTCAACCCTGGGCCAGCGTTTCCTTGCATACTCATAAGAAGGATATGGCCCAGCTTCTGGACCACACTCGCCCTTCCCAACATGATAACAAAAGAGAATTGCCCAGGCCTTTTGTTCCTAAGAAGCGTCTGGGAAGCTGGCCCAGGTTTCTTACATGACAACGTTATTACTCAAGTGCTCGGCCGTATGCATGTCAGGAAGGTAGCAAAACACAAACACAATCCATCGTCGCCCCCCAGGAAAATATGGGAAACGATTGGAAATGTGGGGGGGGGGGAACGAAAGCCCAGAACCTGTGGGAAAATGTGTGGGGGTTCCAGGGATCAGTGTGCCTGTCTCTTGGGTGCGTCCCAGGGCCCCTTCGGCATCGTTTCACCAATCCCCGTCCCCAGCCCCACCCCCTCCGAGACCCCCGAAAAAGTTGCCACCCCAGCTGGGGATACACCCTTCGAAACCCAAAGGGAAGGACTTGTATCCCTATCCAGAGGAGTATATCGGCCAGTGGGGTTCCCAGGCCACACCGCTGGGGACGGGGATCGGTTCAACGATGCTCATCTGATCCGCTCTGACGACAAAGGGGGGATTGGTAACAGGAGGGAGGGAGGGGGGGGGAAGGAGGAGGAGGAGGAGGAGGAAGAGGAGGAGGAGGAGAGGAGAAGAGGGAGGAGGAGGAGGAGGAAGGAGGAGGACGAGGAGGAGGAGGAGGAGGAGGAGAGGAGGAGGAGGAGGAGGAGGAGAGGAGGAGGAGCAGGAGGAGGGAGGAGGAGGAGGGATGAGGAGGATGAGGAGGAGGAGGAGGAGGAGGAGGAGGAGGAGGAGAGGAGGGAGGAGGAGGATTTGGAGGAGGAGCGGAGGAGGGGAGAGAGGAGGAGGAGGAGAGGAGGAGGAGGAAGAGGAGAGGAGGATGGAGGAGGAGGAGGACAAGGAGGAGAGGGAGGAGGAGGAGGAGGAGGAGGAGGGAGGAGGAGGAGGAGGAGGAGGAGGGGATTTGTAAAAAGGAGGAGGGGGGCGAGAAGCCTGCTGCGTGCGGCTGGTCTCGGCGCATTGCTCTGCCAAGCCTTCTGGTTTCTTCTAACTAACGTTAAATTGGGCGTGTCCCTCTACAGGAGGAATATTCAAAAATATGTTCAAATGATTGTCTGGGGACGATCTTTTGAGTACTTGTGAATGCTTATGATTGTTTTTTTTTTCGCCTCCAATCCGCTTGTAGGGGGACATGCCCGACCTAAAGCTAAGACGTTGGCGACCCTCGGCTTTGCCGGGGGGGCGTCGCCATGAACACCAACTGCGCATGCCTCGGACTCGCTGGCCGCTACTCTGAGCACCTCGTGAAGTTTTGGGCCACTGGATCGCAGGGTCCCCCCAGACTGCCCCTGAGATCCTTGCGGTTCCAGTTGTTCGAGCCCGGCGTTTTGCTCGATTTCGGGCCCCAGGGCCATTAAAGATATATCTTATTCCAAAAAAGCGATGCAGAATGATGGGGGCCAGAGGTCCAGGCGTGTTTTTTGTTTGTTTTGTTTTTTTTTGTTTTTTGTTGTTTTTGTTTTTGTATGTTTGTTGGTTGCGATCTTACATTTTTTCTGCAACGTCGGATCTCAGGGATATGGCCCCCCCCCAGACTACAAGGGCTTCGCCCCCGGACTACAGGGACCCCCCCCCGGACTTCCAGGGCCCCCCTGGACCACAAGGCCCCCCCTTGGACTGGCAGGGCCCCTCCCCCTGGACTACAGAGGCCCCCCCTCCCAGACTACAGGGGCCCCCCTGGACTACTGGTCACCCCGAAACTGTTAAGGTACTCAGAGTAATCGGGGAAACGTAAGACTCGAGTACGCCGGCATTCGGGTTTGCCGACGCTTTTCGACGAGCGCGTCCTGGATGTTAACGGTTCTTTTTCGTGGGATGTTTGAAGCGGCAGCTCGCGTCAAGTTTCAGATTTGGTCTCGTCATTTTCATGATGACCCCTTGAGGCCGACCCGAGTCCCCCGAACCCGATTCTTGAATGTCCCAGAGCTAACTCCCCCCTTGATATGCCTTCCGTTCGTCCTCGCCTGAAAACGGGGTTCCAGCTGGTCGTTCAATTCCGAAGCGGCCCCCCGCCTGTTTGGCACGTGCATGGGGCGTCCGTCTTTCAGGGGGGGGGATCCCCCGAAAAGATCAACGTGTGGGGGATTGCGAAGATGGGACTTGAGACGGGAGGGTGTGTTGCTGCATCGTTGACGCATCTTGGGTTTCTCAAGTCCTCCTCCTCCGCCTCCGCCTCCGTCTCCGTCTTCGTCTCCGCCTCCACCGCCTCCTTCTCTGGAGATCTGGAGACCTCTGGAGTCCCCGAGACCTCGTGGGACCTCGTCCACAGGTTTCCGCCGGGATGATGCACACGGTCCTGCTGAGGAGCGACGGCGGGGCCGTGACCTGTGGCTCCAACCACGACGGCCAGTGCGACCTTCCGGCGCTGGCCGTGGGCCTGACGTACACGGCCCATCAGCTGCCGGCGCTGGTGTTGCAGGCGTCGCTCGACGGGGCCGCGGTGCGCTTCCTGACGTTCGCCGGCGTGGAGCGCTGCCGGGTCGAGGCAGCGCCGCCCGCCCGCGTGTCAGGCACCAGGGGGAGCAGAAGAAAAGAGCAAGGGGGCCGGCAAAGTACGAGCCGCAATGTCGCAGGCGACTTCCCCCCTCCCAATCCGCTCATCCTCCTTCCTATCCCTCCTCCTACGCCCTCCCTCCTCCCTTCTCATCCTTCTCCTCCTCTCCCTTCCCCTCCACCTCCTCTCCCTTCCCCATCCACCTCCTCTCCCTTCCCCTCCACCTCCTCCTCCTCCTCCTCCTCCTCCTCCTCCTCCTCCTCCCCCTCCTCCTCCCTCTCCTCCCTCCTACGTCTTTCCCCTTCCCTTCTCCTTCCTCCTTCTCCTCCTCTCTCTCCCTGAGTCGCCGCCGTCGGCCCGCTGCTGGCCAGCCTTTTTTCCCCAAGCACGTAAAATTGGCCGTTCAGCGCAGAGGGGGGACCTCGTTGATGGACGCCAACCGTCGTCGTTTAACGGGCGAAGAACGGTATAAAATAAACTTTTTCGCTGTCGGGGGCGCCTGTCCCTGGGCGGCTGGAAAGTTTATACCCCTACGGTGCCACCGTAAGGGTATAAACTTTCCAGCCGCCCAGGGACAGGCGCCCCCGACAGCGAAAACGTTTATTTTATACCGTTCGCCCGTTAAGTCGTTGGCCCTGGATCGAAGAAGAAAAAATGCCATAAACATACACTGTTGGGGCTCCGCGCGGATTTCTTGGATCCGCGCTGGGCCCCCCGATTGCGCTTGCGGCGCCTCCTCTGGCGCGCTCCGCGCGCCATGGAGGGGGGTCCGGCCCAGATCCAAGAAATCCGCGCGGAGCGCCAAAAGTTTATGTTTATCATGTAACATCCAGTCCAGCGCACGTCCGATGAAGTCGGGTACTGGGGTCGCCGAACCTCGTGTCGGAAGCTGGAGGGGGATGCAGAAGGAGAGGGACGTGGAGCGAAGGGAAGGAGCAGGAAAAAAGAGGGGGGGGCAGAGGCATCCGCAGTGCTGCTGGGGGCTGGGTGGGGGGCAGCGAGGGCGTGTCCAGCAACCTGCTTCCTGCCCAGACCCCCGACGTCATGAATTTTTCATGACGTCGACCCGCAGCGGTCTGGACCCATTCCCCGGGACCGGTTTTTCGTCCTGAGTCGTTTTTTGACGCTCCCGAGGGCCGGTAAGGGCCCCCGGAGGCCAAAAATAATGAAAAACCTCCCGTCGTGATTTTTTCATGACTCGAGGGGGCCTGGGTGTGCTCCCGCCAGACGTCTACGACCGGCTGCTGGCCGACCACCGCGCAGGCACCCACCGCCAGGGTGCAGCCCGCGGCCTCGGAGCCCCGGGGCACCCCGCCGACCCCTGCGGGCCCCGGTGCGGCGTTTCTATTCACGCAGGGTGGCTCCCCATGAGATGCCCTTCCCCTCCTCCTCCTCCCTCCCCCTCCCCCTCCCCCTCCCCCTCCTCCTCCTCCTCCTCCTCCTCCTCCTCCTCCTCCTCCTCCTCCTCCTCCTCCTCCTCCTCCTCCGCCTCCGCCTCCTCCTCCTCCTCCTCCTCCTCCTCCTCCGCCTCCCCCTCCCCCTCCCCATGAGATGCCCTTCCCCGGGACTGGCGGCGGGCCTGGGGGGAAGTTCGAGGCTCGAGGTGTTCGGGCGGTCTCGTGGTTTCTTGCCGGCTTGCAGGCCTCGGGATGCGTGCCAGCGGCTGCGCCTCGCCGAGAGCGTGCCGGGCCGGGGTTGCCCGGATCTTCCCGAACGCCCGCCGGAGACCCGAGTGCTGTCCCAAAAACCGGATTCGGCGGCGAGTGTGGGGGGGAAGTGAGAATGGGGGCCTACGTCTCGGAGGCCCCCTGTCTCTGAGAAGTTTTAAGGTCTCCCTGCAGACACTGAAAACCTTTCAGAAGGCCGGAGGCCTTGGAGAAGCTCTAGGCCTCCGAGATGGGGTCGGACTAGATGGGGTCGGAGGATCCCGCCGCATCGCCGATGCATCGGCGATGCGTCAGCGATAAGGCTCGATGTGGGGCCCGATGTTCTCCAGGCCGACGTCGCCGATGCATCGCCGACGTCGCTACTGCATGGCCGATGCATCGCCGATGCATCGGCGATGCATCGCCACTGTACCGTCGACGCGGCGAGATCCTCCGACCCCCATCTACTCGGACCCCATCTAGGAGGCCTCTAGAAGCCCCGCCGCCTTTTGAGAAGGCCTTCGCCTTCTCACTTCTCAGCAAACGCGTTCCACTACTCGCAAAGTGCCTACTCGCAGACGTACGAGAAAAAACATGTTTGCTTCGATGAGATTGATCGTAGATTCCCTGGGGTGGATCCAGGCCATTTGCGAGTAGTTACTTTGCGAGTATCGGAACGCGCTCGTCTAAGCTAGCCGCGGGCGTGGGTGTGCCCTGGCGGTGCGAGGCAGGCTCGGCCTCAGCGCTGCCAGGGTCGACGCCGTCCTGCCCGGGGGCCGGCTGCTCAGCAGCGTCCCAGCCGATGAGACGGTCGCGAGCGCCTTCCGCAGGGTTCCAAAGGGGGTTTCTGGGGAGGTGGTTTTACAGGAGGGGTACCCCAGGGGCTTCCCACCCCCTGTTTTGACGAGGTTCCGAGGCCCCTGGGGGGCTCTCTGTAAAACCCGCTCCCAAAACCCCCCCTTTGGAACCCTCCGCGTCTCCGGGCCGCTCCGCGAGGCTGAGCCGCAGGGCTCCGCGCGCTGAGTGTCCAGCGTCGAAGAGGAATCTTGCAATTCGGTGGGCGCCAAGTGTTGAGTCGGGCGCGTCCCTCTACGGGAGGAATACAAGGAAATAGTAAAAAAACAGTCAGGGGACAATTGTTTGACCATGTTTGGGAATTTGTTGCGCATTTGTTTGACTATTTTTGATTTTTCGTCCAAAATCCCTCTGTACCCCAGGAAGCATTTAAGACCCCCCCCCCCTTCCGGCAAATCGATAACCCTTCCGCACCCTGGAAGCGTTACCTGGCACCAGGAGCCCTCCTCCTCCTCCTCCTCATCCTCCTCCTCCTCCTCCTCCTCCTCCTCTCCTCCACCCACGAACTTCCTCCTGCCCCCTCCTCCTCCTCCTCCTCCTTCGAATTTCGATTGTAGCCCAGGGGCCAGGCCTCCGCGAATTTGTTGTGTGTCCGGGTGCTAAACCTATCGTGCGGTTATTTCGGCCCCTCGGAATATCGAATAAAAATGCGGTGCTAAGATATCGCCGGGGGGGTTCTTAAATGCTTCCTGGGGTTAAGTGTCCAACGTCGAAGAAGAATATTTCAAGTCGGCGGACGCCGAGTGGTCCAAGGCAGTCGGGCGCCGGCCGTGGCAGGCGGTGGGGTGCACTGGGGGCGAATGGAGGCACGAGTGCAGAAGAGAACAGAGCGCGAAGGCAAAAGAGCGTCGAAGGAGAAGCAACTGGAGGGTTTCTCCGAAGGGCTTAGTCGATCCGCCCTCCTCCTCCTCCGCCCATCCCTCCTCTCCTCCTCCTCGTCCTTCTCCTCCTCCCTCCTCCCTCCTCCACCTCCTCCTCCTCCTCATCCTCCTCCTCCTTCTCCTCCTCCTCCTCCTCCTCATCCTCCTCCTCCTCCTCCTCCTCCTCCTCCTCCCCTCCTCGGGTCGCCTACGGCCCCAGGGGAAACCGTCCACAGAGCGCGAAGGCAAAAGAGCGTCGAAGGAGAAGCAGACTGCACGCATGACAAAACACCACACGTTTTCGGAGCTCCTCGCCGAGTTCTCGGATCTGCTCTGCCTTTGGCGCCGCCCCGGGCGGGCTCCTAACAACACGCTGTATACTTTCAGAGCTCAGCGCCGAGTTCTCGGATCTGCGCTGCCTTTGGCGCCGCCCCTGGCGCGCTCCGCGCACCAGGGAGAGTGGTCCGGCGCCGATCCAAGAAGTCCGCTCGGACCTTCGGGAATGGACGATCCTGCCGTCTCTTCTTCTGCTGCTGCAAGTGTCGACCAGCGAGCACCACGAGTTAGGGGCCGTTGTCCTGGTGCCTCTCCGTGCCCCCGTGTGACTTCTCCAGGTGGGGCGCTCCAGAAAAGGCCTCGCCTTCGTGGGGGCGCGAGCGCGACATGAATTTCTTCTTTTTCTTCGCCGGCGGACGGTGGCAGAAGGCCGTCGGAAGTAAGACGAGGGTGGCTTTACCGGCGGCATGCCGGCGCAAGGCCAGCGGAAGCAAAGGTTTGAAGGTTTGACCCCTCCAGGATGCTGATTCTCCAGATTCCGGATTTCTTGAGCTGGATAGGGGTGGATCGAGCGTTGGGTAGGTGCGTCGACGCAAAACACGCTGCCTCTCGACGAGAGGTGCCGTTGGAGGCGTGTCGAAATTGTGTTCGCGGTTTCCCTGTCTCTAGAGTAGTTAGTGATCGCTAGCATGGCGCGCGCCACGTCTCCTGGATTCATGGAGGAGAAATTCTCCGCACTGCTACCTGTCTCCCTGCTTCCACTCCCGTCTCCTTGTCGCGTCTGCACCCGCTCCAGCGCGATAGAGTGTCGAGCTCGCCTCCCCCCCCTCTCGTTTCGAGAACGGGGTGTTCTGGGAGTCCCCTCGGAGGGAACAACATCTCAACAACAAGCAACGCCGAAAACGAAGATGCGACGACGCAAGTTGCGGGGTCGGCATGAGGGAAGCGTTTGCTTCTGAAGGGAACGCCTCAGCATGAAGCAATTCCCGCATGCTCGGGGGGAGCATGCGGGATTCGCTTCATGGGGGGAGGCCGCGGCCCCATGAAGCGATTCCCGCATGCTCGGGGGGAGCATGCGGGATTCGCTTCATGGGGAGATGGCCGCTCAATACGACGCACATCTAAAGGAATCAGAGGTCGGCAGGTTTTTTTTTTTTTTTTTTTAAAACAAAATGTTTTAAGTCGAAAAACCAGGTTTCGCTTGAGACTCCCTCCAAACTTTTTAAATCCACTGGGCGCTGCTGCTGTGAAATTCTGAAGGAGTCTCAAGCGAAACCTGTTTGTTTTTAACAAAAACCAATGAAAAATTAATGAAAATCCAGGTTTCGCTTGAGACTCCTTCAGAATTTCACAGCAGCGGCGCCCAGTGGATTTAAAAAGTTTGGAGGGAGTCTCAGGCGAAACGTGGTTGTTCGATAAAAAATTTGAACAATGTAAAAACATATTATATATAAATAAAAAACCTGCCGACCTCTGATTCCTTTAGAATTGTCTCGTATTGAGCGGCCCTCCCCCCATAAAGCATACACAAACATGCAAACAATTTTAAAAAAACCTTGGGGGCGTCTCGCAGGTTCAGGTCGCTACATATCCGTACGAAAGGAATCAATTTGTAACCCGGCACGAAAAGGATTCCTTCTCTAACCCGCCACAAAAAGGAATCAATTTGCAATCCGCCACAAAAGGATTTCCGTTGTAATTCGCC